CCCCCCCCCCCCCCCATATTTAGAGGAAAAAATAAAATGAAAATTAACTGATTCTTAAATTATTCTGACAAACTGTGCTGTCTTACCTACACAGATCCATTTTTACATTTTATTAAATTAAATGTCCCAGTGTTTATTACATCAACGCTATCTTATTCCAAAGTTCACTCCTGTCCTCAGCCTCAGCTGTCATTATAGCACATCAGCACTTAAGCTGACTCCAGTGTAGAAACTTTGAGGCTTAATGGGTCTGATTATCTCACCCTGAAATTTCAGAGTCAGCTTTAAATATTTATGCAGATAAATAATTTTTGCTGTTCCTATACAGGATTGACATCTTCAAGTATGTGATATACGGTGTAGCAGCTGCATTCTTTGTATATGGCATTTTGCTGATGGTGGAGGGATTCTTTACAACTGGTGCCATCAAGGATCTCTATGGGGATTTCAAAATCACCACTTGCGGCAGATGTGTCAGTGCCTGGGTAAGTGGTTAAGAAAGCCTTTGTACTTATAACAATTTCAACATGGTTTGGATATTTGTGTGCCTTGTGATGTTTATTTTTTGGTTTTTTTTTGTTTCTTTAATATTTTCTGATACTTCATTTAGTGGTGAAAAATCATAGCAAAGGAGAATAAAGTGTTAGAAATGTTCTCTATATTGGTTAATCACTAAGTTACTCTTGCTACTTAGGAGCAATTAATTCCACCAGTTAAATGGCAAAGCTTATTCTCTCAGCAGCATAAGCTGTTTGGGACAGCACTAAAAGTGTGTAACGCCTTCAGCTCTACGGGCCAAGAAATATTTTTCTTACTAATACTTTTACTGTCATTTTAGAAATCTTGCCTGTTCCTCTTTGGGACACGCTGAGACCTGTCATCAGGTTTTCTTCTGTTTTTAAATGGCAAATAAACCCTTATTTACTCCTACTTTATCTGTGGTCTGGAGAGACCGCTCACTTATGACTCTGGAAAACCTAGGTTCAGAAAATTCTGATTTGTACTGGGACTTAAATGGAAGTTTCTCATACTAAAATTGGTGTTTATTTGAACTGGGATTATTTTGCGATCTCTGTTTAATATCAGGTAACTAACTACATTTTTTGGTATTTGACTCTTCTGTATCTAAGGTAAGAGGCCTGGACACTTGGTAGCTGTTGGATATTTCTGCAAACACCATCAGAATCAACAAATCATATCTTTTGATGCAAAATAAATTATTAAATGCAGCCAGGTAGATCTGGGTGTTAAGGTACACTTAAGCTAATACTATATTTACAATAACTGATATATAAAATAATAGCCAGAGGAGAGTTTCCCATTGTACCCTCATACAAAAGTCAAGATTTATTAAAATGGAATACAAACTAGGAACAAATACTGGCAATAGAGAGTATCTTCTAGTCACACTACTATCAAAACTAGTATTTTTTAATATCCTGATATTTAAAGTTAAATTGAACACAGATAATCTGCACATTAGAAATTGGGGAATACAGCATATATGCCAGCCCTACATAGATGGAACATGCTCCACAACAATGCTACTTTTTCATCTTTTTTTCTTTTGTTCTTGTCAAATGTCATTGTATGATTTTGGCACTTCAACCAAGAATTGTTTTAGACCCTTTAAATAAATACATAAATAAAGACTGGGAATGTTTTAAATAAAGCACAATCATTGCTTATACCAACACTGCTTTCATCTCCTGGAAAGAAATCTCTAATCTGTATTCACTGAGAACCTCCTAAGCTAGTTCAAATTCTGTACAGAGCAGGAAATTTTTCAGAACATTATTTTTTCTTCACAGCTCCCATAAATGCCTGTCCTGAGTAATGCAGCAGAGCAATGCCGCATCCTCTCACAGTTTTGATGCCTTTGCAGTATAAACTGTAATTCTGTAGTACGTGTCTAGAAGAAATGTTAAACATCTCTTCCATGGTTAATATCGTTGTTATTATTAATGATTCATTACATTAATTCCTTCAGCATTTTACTTTCGTCATCAGTAATTTGTAATGTTTGTGTTTTACTTTAAGACACCTTGGGTTGATATACACTGTGCAGCTAAGTTTAAGGCTATATACTGTTCATGATCACAATTAAAACAAGCCATCAATTATTTTGAGTTCAATACATTGTTGTTGTTATTCTTTAAGTTAGTGGAAGTTTCTTCCTTTCCCTGGAAAAGCAAAAAAATCTGTAGTTTGATTGCTTGTCTTTTTCTGATGATATATCAGCAAGATTCTTTTTTTTGGGTTGTTATTCTGGTTTTTGCTTCTGTGCTCAACAGATTTCAGAATAAGACAGTATATACAGAGGTTTTTTCTGTTAAAACACGATAACCTTTTTGACTAGGTTCATTTTTATGATCTCATGTTTAAAATTCTTAAGGGACAAAAAACAGTTTACATTTAAAAAAAAAAAAAAGAAGAAATTAGAAAATATTTCAGTCCAGCAGTGTTATGTTTATAATTTATTCAGATCTTAAATCATGCTACAATACAAAGAAGTTCTAAGAACAACAAAAAGATGACTGGAGAGGTAAATCAAACCTAACCAGTACCCTTGTGTGTTAAGCCCAGATTGTTCTATTACTATGCAGATTTGCAGTGGTAAATTTTGTTATGTACAGTTGCCAAAATGAGACAATGATATTGAAGAGGATTGGCAGATACTATATGTTGCAAGAAAACTCCCCTGTATAAAATTTTGAGATAGTAATTTTGTAAATATTAAAATCTAAACTGTCAAAGACTAAGCAGTTGGTTTCTTTTAGCAATATCTTATTGCCCACAGAAACGTACACACAGGATATTTGTTGTTTTGAAGAATTAAAATGACAAAAATGGCTCCACATCAAAAATACCTTTGCAAAAATCCAATTGTGATTATGTTTTCATATATAATTTGCTAATGTCTTTCTAAATATCAGTTTAGCATCTTAAAGTCTGAAAATTAGGTCCTTCTGCTTTACCATTGTCATCAATTACTTCTCATTAATATTTTGCATGAGCATATTTATTATGTCTGTGACTAAACCTATTAGGGAAATGGAGGGGGGAAAAAAATCAAGAAAAAATTTAATGGAGGAAAATCTTATTTTAACTTTGTATGGACAAGCTATATTTCTCACTGGAAATCTGAAAAGTAACATCTTTTTTCTTTCTTAACAAAATATTCTCTGAAAAGCAGGCTTTTAAGAACACCAGAAGCCAACATCTACAGAAACTTTTCATGTGCCCTTCCTGACCTCCCTCCTTCACTGTGACTGACTCACTTTCTAGCTTTACATGGGCAAAAGGAATTTTGTTCCCTTGAAGTAATGGAAAAAGAAATAGCTCAACCTAACCTTTCCATTGATGGTATAGTTGATTAATCAGCCTATATGAGTATTCAGAGGATTAACATCCAAGTCATTCCATTGCTGCTATGGCGTGTACACTCTCAGATCTGAAAGTGACAGTGAAGAGTCTCATTGGCAGTGTTTTCAGAATTAATTCACTGTGACAAGTAAAATAAAAGCGGTATAACAATGCCAGTCACATTCGAGGAGGGATGGCTGTGGTTTTAGTCTTCATTTTTCAATGCCTGAACATGCTTTTAGAGAATTGAATAAACAGTTATATATAATTGTGCTGCAGCATGATTAGTGAAGAATGGGAGACAGGCCTGAAGCCAATTGTGACACTGAGTATTTGTGTTTTAATACCCTTCCTATTTATATTCAGCTAGCTTGATCATGGAAAGCCTCGTTTACACCCTGCTTTAGAATGTCTGCTTACAAAGTCAATGAAAAAATGAAGAAACAAACAAAAAAGATGTTTTTTTGCTTGAAAATTTTTCTCTTAAGAAAATTTTATGCTATGAAATGGGAAAGTAGTTCTTTTTATTTCATCAGAAAATAATGGGCAAAGATTTCATCCTGGAAGATATATTTCTATTTCTTTGTATCTTACCTTTTAAAAAAGAAACATGTTAAGGATCTAGAGAAAGATCTTTTATATTCTAAGTTTCACTGACTAATATATCTTCTCTAACTTTAGTATTTAGGAACCTTTTATTTTAATGAGCGAAAGGGATTTTTCTGCATTTGAAAATTATTTTGGCTACCTGAATTCTTATACGCTATTTGACCAATGTTTCTTGAGTGCTTAAACTAAAAAAACTTTCCAAAATATTTGCAGATTTTATTTTGCAAGAAAAACCATGGAAGCTTCGCGAGTGTTTTGAAAAATCCTCTGTAAGGGATGTGAACTTGTTTCTTCATTTTGCCCTTACCAGACCAGTTATTCTAGAGGCGGTGAAACTGCACCATATTGGCATTTGATTCTTTGTGTAACAAGAGGAAGAGAGTTCAGTGCAGGCACAGCTGGCTCTCCCACCCAGAACAGACACATCACTTCTGAATGCTAGAAATGAAGCTCTCATTTCTGAAAGTCAGATCCCATATCTGGGAAGAGAATTATGAGAAGTAAAGAGCCTTCTCTCCAAGACAGCAGATGTATTTATGGGTCTAGAATCCCTTAATGCAATCTTAAATAAGGAAAGCGTCTAACAAAACTCCTGTCCCTATACATGTAAAGTAGTGAATGCCCTAAGCGGTTTCAGACACTGAGATGGAAAATGGGGAAAGTGAGATTCATATGGAGGTCTGACCTTTCAGACTGCATAGTTAAAAACCAGAATCACAAATTATTGCCACAAATGATCCAGAAGCTGATGGAGAAGTTAATTTCAGAGGAAATATCTTGTGACACAGATGTATCCCACCTAACTAGGAATGTCACTAAGGCTGCTGTGAGAAGGGCCTATGCTCCTTCAGTAGTTAGAAGAGAGAGGGTTAGAAAGACTTTCTCAGATGAGCTGAATTTTTCTGCAAGTGACTGTCCTATTTTCTGCAGAGAGAATAACCCCCAAGTCTTTTACATGAGGTCTTTTTTATTATGCACTTCAGTGGGATGTATCCTGCTTGGCCCCCTTTAATTGGATTTTAGGTGAATAACATTTGCTATCTAATCACTACTGGAGATAGTAAACAAAATAAAACATATAAATTATTTTATGTGTTTCTGAATACTAGACCAGTGTTGGAATTTTTTTTAGAGGACTGGGTTCCTTGTAATCTTCTGTGTTTGTTCTTGAAATAGGAAGGACAAGCCCTAGCAATACTTCAGAAAAGTTATTACTTTTTTTCCCCCCTCTATTTGTTATACTTTTAGAAATCTTTTGCAGTGATCTCAGAAATTACTTTGTTATACATTTCTAGATGCTGACTGTACTTTTGATCTTGATTTTGTTTTTCTTTACTTTATACTTCCAGATTTTCTCACTCGGGGATATCATATTATAAAATCATTCTTTCATCTGATTGGTCCTCTTCTAACACAACTTACCATGTGCTTTACACGTAGCCCTTTTGTTGACTGCAGTATTTATTGCTTCCTTTAATAGAGTGTGCCAGATATTGTAATATGCCTTGCC